GCGGGCTGATTATTGAAACTGATAGACAAAGCTATAGACAAAGACGACAAAAGTGATTTGGAGGGATCCTATTGGTGGAAGCGGGTGGTGGCAATGGACATAAGAGGTAGGTAATGGACTGACTAACGGCAACCCACCAAAGACCCGACAGTTAGTCCATCATTTTCTTCCTTAGTCTATAAGAACCAACCATGACAACCAATAAGATCGCTCTATACTCCCTGTGTCTTCTTTGTCTATCGCTTTGTCTATCAGTTTCAATAATCGGCCCGCTGGTGATGTACACGCGATTCTTATCTTGACTTTCAAATTATCTCCGTGGCTAGAGTATGTCATCTTATTTTTAAGTTGTGTTCCATTAAAAGTGCAGGGAATACATTTCGACAAGAGAGATTGTGCGGTTAGTTCAGCACAATCCTACTCTGACCTCACTCTTTTCCAAAATGTGACTTGCTTCCTTCCTCTTTCAGTCAGTCCATGGGCCAGGCGAAATTTACATTGTAAAATATGTGTATTCGATTGAGGGGCTTAGAGGACAAGGCGCATAATAAGGAGTTTTTGAAAAAATTGAGATATTCATAAACGCAGCTAAAAATAGTCTGGGAGTATCTTCTGTGAAAAGTTCACATGCAAAATGCAACTTCAAAGCATCAAAAAGTGAGATAAAACAACCTTCCTGCTATGAGGTTCCATGTCATTATGAAACTTTAAACATATATTTCTTGAAACAGCCAAAACTGCACTTATGTGCCTTGTCCTCCAAGCCCCTCAACTGTCGTTGTTTAAATTGGTTTGTCAACATTGTCAACAGACGAGGGAAGACTGAAATCTTGTGATTGTGTTTGCTCAGAATCTTGTAAGTTTGGTGCGACGAATATTATTCACACGATTCGAAGCTTTGTGAAACGTGCTGTTAATTCTCGGGTAAAATCTTCACTTTCAATTACTCACTAAATTAAATTAAGATTTTTATCAGGAACTTGCTTCATAATAATTAATTGGTTTTCTCCCGTTTTTTTCTTGGATAATTATACGTCTAAAACACGCCGCTTAGCCATGTTGCTCTGTTGCAACGACGCATGTTGTAATAGAGAGGATGTTCATACCGAAATTTCTACTAAGTTCCCTTTCATTTTCAGCGACGGAAACGACGCCCAAAAAAACAAAGCTGAAATTGCGGGTGAACTTTTCGCGCTCATACTTTAATCGTGCAAGAATTCGTTGCGGTCAATGACTTTATCAAAAAATTGATTATGATTCGAGAGTATAGAAGGAGATAGTGTGTAGAGTGAGCGACTACTCATTAGCGCGTACACTTCAGAGAATTCTAGAAATGAAGAATACCATAAAATCATATGTGTAGGTATTAATGACGTCTGCGAAAAAAATAGTTCTTAAAAATTGAAAAAAAAGATAAAAAAAAGATGAACGATTAAGTACTCACTTAGAACCTTTTACTGACGGTGACATCAGAATTTTATGGTCTAACACCGCGGTGCTGTTAAAGTGACGAAAGACACAAATGAAAGCTTTCATATAAATGAAAATGAAACTTGAAAAATGAAAAGCTATGTTGCCAAATTTCAAAATATATTACAATCATCGTGACTTCGGTAACACCAGTAGGTTAAGTCAGGGCTCCCCGTGTATCTGATGAAACTACGGTAGCAAATCGCGAATTCCCGTAACCCGATCACCAATTCAACGAAAACCTAGATTTTGGCGATTGGAAATTAATTCAATTCAAGGAAGTCAGCGAGCTCAGTTTCAAATCTTGTAGAGTTTCCGAAAACATTGATGCATTTTTGACGCGATTGTGTCTTTTGACTGTACGTAATTCCATTGAGCTTGGACAAGTTTGCCGATACTGAGGACACTTTACTTTATCTTTGCTTAACAATTACCAACTTTAAAGTAGCGCTATTGTCAGTCGTTCAGGCGGGCTCTCGATCAAACGTAGACGGGTCAGCGTGGACTGTGGCCTTCGCCGCAAATTATTAGTAGGTAATGCTGCACAAAAAAAAAAAACGTGTATGCTAATGTTAGCGTGTTAATCTCTCGAGGCTTTAACGCGCGGAAGCTTCCCATAAAATTATATGCAACCCAATTTCGTCGGTTTTGTGTTAGTGGAGAATTTGGGAATATACCCCGGCAAAAAAAAGGGCGAGTTTAAATATCAGTGCTCGTAGGGTACCTTTAATATATATCCCAAGCAAGAGAACGTTCACATTTTACAGGCAAGGAGCCGAATCAGGCAATTTTGTCCTTTGCAGGTATATATCTCGCTAAACTAAAACTCAATATACAACTGTTTCAACGCCTGAGCCGCTCAAATTTCGTCTGTCTAGTTGAAGGCGAACTTGATTCCTCACTCCCGTTTTCGAGTATTCAGATACGAGCGCACTCAATAAAATTCTTTGACTCGGATACCTGAGTAAAACGTCCCCTACACAATTATATCGGCCTAAGAGATTTCTTTAAAAAGAATGGGGGAAAAAAAACTGAGTACAAATCACGAAAAAAATCGATAAACAGGCGAAAAATCATGACGCTGAAGCCCATTGAGCCATATAACTGTACATAGACTTCTCTCTCTGGATATTACGAATCTATGTGCAATTAATCCCAAGGATTGCACTTTCAACAAACGAGGCTTCATTTATGGGAAGTAAGTAGTGATAAGAAAATACCTCTGTTGAAGAACTGACGGAAAAATATCGAGCTGGTCTTGAAGACGAAGCCGAAATTGCAAGAGCCTGAGATTTAAAATTAGCTTGAAGGAATTGAGACATGCCTTTGAACGATGAAATGTTAGGCTGAATTGAATTGCCGACACACTAAGAGATTGGTTGCAAAGGGGATACCTGATATGAAAGTGCGAACGTACCTTTCTTTTTCCAGAAGAAATGTTGAAGTTGCCGGTGTGGTGTTCCTTAAAGAGTTCCAAAATTTTGACAAGTTTGTCGTAGTTCTGTTGGTCTTGAACGACATGGAGGTAGGCCCTCCAGTTACTGGAGTCGAAGCCCCAGTGGCAGGTCCTGTTCTCGAGGACTCGATGAGCGTGACAGACGAACTTCTGAGGTGAGAAAAATCCGTGACACTCGGTGCATTCGATGCACTTGGCGTTGGGGTCAGTGTACAACTCGGGGATACAAGAACCTTGGCACTTGCCGAAACACTCATGATAGACTTTGAAAAGGAAGGCCTTGCTCTTATCGAAATAGCGGGGCGGGGAAGTGCTCCTGTGGTGGAGGAGGGAGCTGCACAACCGCTCGGCGTCCGTTTTAGTGATAAGACCACAAGAGGGGGCACTCGTAGGGAGGATCCCGCTCACTTTCAACACCTCCAACTGTTCCGGATTGCAGCGGGAGCAGAAGATCTGCAATTCGTCGCAGACCTGATTGATCTGGGCTAAACTGAAATCCCTGAGGACACTATTCAAGATCTGCGGGAGGCAGAGTCTCTTCTCGCCGCCGACGACGAAACAGGAGATGTTCTCCCCCTCGAGCACCGTCTCGGACAATTCACTACGCGACTGATCCTGCGGCGTGAGGATGGGCACCTGCTGGACCGGCAGCGGGGGCGGCGTCAAAAAGGGCTCCGGGGAGGGCTCCAAGGGCTGCTGCTGCTTCTTCGGAAGCACCGTCAAAGCCACCGCGCTCGGCTCCGAGCCCAAGACCGTGCTTGGACCCTGCAAACTTTTCACCGCACTCAGCTGATAAGTTTTCAGAACTTCCTTAATGTGAGGGTTGTACGCCTGATGCCCTCCAACCAATGTTTCCATCATTGTAGCAAACGGCAGCCGTCACTACACAGCCCCGACACAAGCCCGGGATCCAATTCCGATCCAAGACACCCTTACTACGCACATTTTCTACGCAACAACACGCGGCGCACAGCACATGTCGACCTCACGGCGGACTACACTACACTGAGCCGGGAGCGGCTCCGGCTGGGGCAGGGGCCGGGCGGCGAGGCGGCTGGCGGAGCGGCGCGGCGCGCGGCGAGACGCTCAACTTGGCTGCGCGGCTCGGCGCGGCGCGGCGTTCGGCAGACGGCGGCGACACGGCCAAACAGCCTGCAGAATGCAGATTCAGCGGCCTCTCCTCTCTCCGCTTCGTGCTTTTCCTTGCTCCCAGTCAATGTAGAGTGCGCGCGCATCGCCGAGCCGCCGCGACCCGACGCGACGCGCCCCTCCCCCTCCCTTCGCCCTCGCGGCTAGCCTCGCGCCCTCGCCTCGCCTCGTGATAAATCGATCTGTCTGGTTTTCTGGTTCATGTCGGTCATGTATTTTTGCCATACTCCCAACTACGCTACCTCCCAGCGTTACTCTCATTATCGGCCCCGGCCCCGGCGCCTTCGTCCCTCTTATCATTCTTTATCAGATATCGCTATAGTCCAGCCTCAATCATTCTTTCAGTATCATCTTATCGTCCGACCACCTAACGTATCAAGTGTCATTAGGTACACTCTCCCCCAGGTCGTTTTTATGTCAACTACATAACCGTATCTTCGGTGTGGATTTAGTTGAGTAGAAACTTAAAGATGGCAAGTCGCACATGTTGAAAAGTATTTTATTTACGAAACGTATGTTTAATGCATATACGTACGTATGTCACTGAACGTCTGTGTCACAGATATGTGCTACAGGAGCGTCGAAGTAGACCTAAATAGCCGTCACGGTTAAGGAAAATACTAATTGCATCTGTAATGCGAAAGCCGTGGGATCTCACATTTCGCCCGCAAAACTGAGCGTATGCAACCCGGCTCATCGAAGAGTTAAAATAGTTGCATGTTGGGTTCGAACCCAACTTCATGTATTCTTACATTGTTTTTCGCTCTGCACATTTTTCAAATGGCGAGTTAACGTTATGGAAAGGCATCTCAGTTGGTTCTTATCCCATTATTTTATTTGTAAGATATTCCTCTGTTAACTGAGGAGCCAAGAGGAAGTTATGCGGGATATTCTCGGATTATTCCAATTCCAAGGGGAACATGGAGAGTGGCAAAATTAATTTTAAACAGAAATTTCCGGTAACTTCAATCAATTTTTTGATGGAGAGAAAGACTAGGATATAGAACTTGTTCCGCTTCACTTTGATATGAGGAGAACCTAAAATATTAGTTGCGTATAGGAAAATGTAGTCCAACGTTCAATCCTCTTTTCATAATCATGCCTGTGTACTTTAAATTGTTTGCATTTCTTCTTCCTTGTTTCCTCACTGCTTGTCTCTTACTCTCTATGGTTCGCCTTCAATGACCGCAGTGGCAATATGAGCAACTTGAGATCACGAATGGTCGTTCGCTAACTTGTTAACTTAACTCGCGATTATTAGTACAGATTTTCTTTTTTTTTAAAAAAAAAAAAGAAAAAAAAAAATGAAAATAGTCATTCTTATATTTTAAGAAAGAATGAATGTGTCATCAGGTTCACTATGTAAATATGTGTTTTTATGGATGATACAGAAATAGTATTCTCTTGTTACCGGAATGAAGGTCACATATGGTGCTGAGTCGCATGGCTGAGAAGCTTGAACTTGGGTAATGCCAACTAACTACTGCCAGAGACTAAGGAAATCACATTTTGATATCGCAGGATACGCTCTCGAGCACACCGCAACTCATCTAGTTTATTGCATTGTCACATAAGCCACCGGCTGCACGGGCGCAAATACAGACACACAAACACAATGCACAGACACAGATGCAGCTGACATGGCTACGGAGTGGAGACAACCGCAATCGAAGCACACAATACCTCGCCGTGCTCACAAAAGAGCGCATCTCTGCTTTTTCGTAAGCCCTGAGTAGTATTTAGGTACGGGGTTTACAAGGCTTATCACAAATTACAGTTACGCCCCTTTGTCTGCGGGGCAACGAATAAGTGCAGCGCAAGGCCATCGCGTCGGCTTCATACCAATTACATCATCCTTTAATAATAATTGTTCTCCATAGACTTGGGCATTATGCACGTCTATTTTTTTTTCTCTCTTTCTCTCTCTTTTTCTCCGCTCTTCTCTCATAATGCATGAATACCACTGAAAGCATCCTTTCCGAGCTTTTGTCGCTGAAGTCCTGCAAGCAATGCAGCAATAAGTGCATGAAGTCGAATGTCATGAAGGGTCTCTTTCTCTTTCCAATTAGAACAGTGCATGTATGAAAATTATAAATACCAGTTATGGACAAGAACAGTTCACGAAATATTCGGGGTTGAATGGGTGGAGAGAACGTTCATATAACATGCTATATTGAGCTCATATTCATTTACGAACAGGTGTTAGGTCTTGAAATTTCATAATTTACACCGAGACTCAATGGTAACTTCAAACCCCTTGGGAGGGTATACTCCATTTTGCTCAATTTCCCCACTAAGCTCTTATTTCGACTGCTAAGTAGCTGAAATTGCAGACCCAATGAATTGAAGGAGCGATGAAAATTCGCGCACGTATCAGCACCATTGCGCAATAATTTGAGAGTTGTGTTTCTATTGGCTTCTGCTGCTGATTTTACACACAGATGTAAAAATACAATTTAGAAAAGAGCGATAAATGAAGCATGAGGTAAAGGAAGGAAACATAAGGATTGAGGGATTGATGAAAGCGTACGTAGATGAAGAAACTGTTCTGTGGCTCGGTTCTGTGGCTTACCTGACTTCAAACCAATATAATTAAATTAAACAAAATAAAACCCTTCTTCAAGAATTTTTACATTTATTTTACGGCCGGAGACCTTCTTCATTTGCAATGTTATAAATCATAATTTTATCTACATTCAAAAGTAGAGAATAAAAAACATGTAACCATGTATGGTGCGAACGCTAGGAGGAACATTAGTGTGTTGCCTTTCTTTTCTCGGTTTTCACGGATTTCTTCATCTAAAATATAACCTTCAACTTGTTCCAGACAGTTCAGATGAAAGAACTCAAAGGAATCGTCAATATAGGATGTGAGAGACTGATTTTTACTGTATTTCAACGGTTAGGCACATCAGCTAAAAGTATAACACCCGAGTCTATCAAATTAGATAAATTTGAAAAGAAGGAACAACTAAGAATTTGCAGGTGCCTGAAATTTGTGAATTTCGTTTTTCGACCAAACTATATCGCATGAATTGAGCACGAGAATTTCCTCGGTTTCTAAAATGAACAATTATTGAAGAGTTACGACCAAAAAACCTAATCTGCTGAAATACATAAGTTTACATGGGAAATACCTCCTAATGGCGTCACTAAGCGATACATTCTCACTCTGTCAAGTCTATTTTCTTTTACATCAGCCCATTAGAAATAAATTATGAAAAATACTGAGAACTCAGCTAATTCAGCATTCTCAGATGAAGGGACAAAGATTCTGGTGCGAATTTCAGGATTTTCAGAGTCTTTTTTTTTTGAACGAAAATCAATTATTTTATTATGTTTATTTACAGGGTGGAATGATATTTAACAGAATATCACCCGAAGGCCTTGTTTACATTTTAAAAGAAAGTTCCTAAATAATACAGTTATTTGTTACTTATAATTCCCCCCTGTCCCGTGGAAGCTTAGATTTCTAAGTTAATAATAATTGTATCTTGAGTTCCTCAGACTCTAGTTTAATGTTGTGGTTGATTTTCCTCGGCATTACCATTTAGTTTCTCTTCGAGGGAGGCATTGGTTGATTGGTCTGCATTCAAAAGACGTTGTTTCCTTATGAGAGTTTCCCGAATAAAATGGTGTACTTTTGAGTCTTACCAGTGGCTATTTCAATTAAGCGCCATAGGCAAAGGTGTCTCACGGCTACTGCGACAGTCATAAAGTTGATTTCTCGAGGCATAAATCGGGGGAAGCCGAGGGCCGGGATGCTCAGACACGGCGGCGACACTGCTCCCGGGATGAGGAATTAATTGCCCTGGCCCTGGGGACTCGCGACTCCAGGTTGTAAAATGATTCGAGGACAATGGGTCTGGGTCCGTCGAGAGGTGCATTCTGCACAGGTGAGTCTCAATGGATGTGTGACAAAAGGCGTTGTTGGTTCCACGGACCAATGAGATGTGTGGCGCGGGGGGCAGGGATGATGAGGATTGACACCCCAGGCAATTAAAACGGAGATGAGACCTCTGTTGTCGGCTCTTTTCGAAAATCACACCCGTTTCTTCCAGTCCAGGGGTGCAGAAAAAGTATAGCCTGACGGATTCGGGGCCGTTTTTACAATCGTTCCCTGAACAGCTCGTTTCCGCAGGGAAGCCCCGTATGGTGTACCTTTTGACGGAGGAAGGTCAAAGGCAGTCTTTAATACAGCATCGTAAAAAGAACAATTTTTGAGAATTTTGAATAAGATTAAGGAATTTAATTTTGGTAATGAACTCTTACGAGGGATGAGCATGACTCGCCACTGCAAAAAGTACGGAGGAAAAAATGATACGATTTTGACACACTCTAAAGTAAGAACTCACTTACGTTAAAAGTTTCGAGACACGAAATTTATTTTCTTGACCGGTGGGCTCATCAGCTTATCTTCCTCTTCCTCTTCTTCTTCTTCTTCTTCTTCTTCTTCTTCTTCTTCTTCTTCTTCTTCTTCTTCTTCTTCTTATTCTCTTCCTCCTCCTCCTCCTCCTCCTCCTCCTTCTTCTTCTTTTTCTCGCCTTCGTCATACGATTAGGAAGGTTAGGAACAACGAGTTCTTATTAATAAAGCGGAAGAGAAAAAAGGCGCGAATTTAGATTGCTCCTTCAAATAATTGATTACGTAATTTGAACCTCTATGAAGTTAAAAGAATCGCGTCCCCTACTTTTTGTGTAGTTAAATTTGACAGTACTGCGCAAAAGAAAGAGATCAACCTTCTACTACAATCTCTCTCTTCCTTAATTTTAATCCCGAACATGTATAAATCAAAATAAAAAAGTTACGAACTTGCATGCAGAGATATTTCCGGGCTATGAAGGATTATATTTACCCGTTCAATTATGATTATTCTTTTT